GCAGCGTGCCCCCACGTGGGCGCACGTGGACCTGTCCCCCCAGCTTAGTATATATACCTCTTGTAAACTTCAGAAAGGGGATCTGAATTCATTCTCTCTAAAACTCCCTTGTAAAAGCACCCGTGCATTCTCCGTCATAATATAAATTGGGCTACAGGTGTTCCACCTAAAGTCATACCGGTCAATCTGCGTGTTTTTTACCTTTTTACTTTGCCAAACCGAACAAACTATTCTAGACCCGGTCTAGTATAGTTTGACCAGTCAAGTAATTTACACCATCAACAAGCTTAGTGGATGAGGGGGTTTTGCCCATGATTCAAAAGTTTTAAATGATGCGCTTTCTAGATCAAATGGGTTAAAGTTCCACCAAGCTTATTCCTTAATGCCAAAACGAGACTCTTATTATTTCAATTTATGCAATACATAGATGCATACTAGTTAAATAATATTTTCATGAATAAGTAAAAATTACTTGGGGATTGTGGGTTTCCAAATCGTTGTCAGTTTTTAACACTGTTTCAAGGTACTCGATATCACCTTAAAGATTTTGGCTGAGGAGGAAATCACTCTACCAATGCACATGAGTTATTCAATCTTCGACATGTTAGCTCTATTATATTTTTGCTCTTGATTGTCCACTTTATGGCTTGACATTATTTTTTGACAAATCACAACCACATAGATTAGGCTAGATGCACTACTATAGGATAGGGAATACACAACGGATAAAATTGATATTTCCGAGCGCTAATCAACCGTTGTGTATGTGACCGGTGCAATAGGTCTCATGTTTATGCATCGGATATATATCCGCTGTGAAATGATAGTTAAAAAGCCACATAACTACACACCTGATAAATATCCGTTGTGTAAGAGTGCTTAAAAGCGGTGGTATAGTTTACACAACGGATATTTATCAACTGTGTAAAGTCAATTTTTATTTAAAAAAATATCATTATTATAAAATTACAATTTCAATAATATCTCAAATTCATAACACAAAAAAAGATCCATAATTCTAAAGAAGAACTACACGTTTGGTCATTTCTGCTGATATATACCGTGATGTTCAAATTAAGCTAACAAGAAGCAATAAATTAACCAAAACCCCCAAAATACATATGTCAAAGATCTGGTTCTTTGCAAGCTAACATGACATGCCCTGCTCAAGCATCTGTGTGGATGCTTCCAATCATCAACTTGCTTCAATTCTGATCCCCCTATTTTAAAATAAACCAGAACAAAGGAAATGATGTACAGCCTCGAGCAAACCCTCTATGTCACTGAATATGCTTGTACCATAAAAAAATTGCCTTACTTGACTTAAACTAAACAGGATTCTAAGGAAAAGATTGATCCCAATGCATCTGAAATCCATTAAAAAAACTAACAAGAATAATCTGGATAGATGAATGCTGCTGCAATTTTAAAAGCTTAAAAAACCTCTAGTTATGGATAATGATCTTACCTCCATACGAATAGCCTCCAAAATTACTAAAGGTTAAGAACCAATGAAGTAATTGGATGAGCACCTTAAATATGACCTGAAAATGACTCCCTGTAAGGAACAATTCTAAGGTTGAATACAAACATTACACATTATGCTTAAAAATCTTCTTGCAATGAATAATCCTTAACCACCAAGAGAAGTGCTGGAGAAAATCCAAACAAAGAGAAAAACATAAAGGCATAAAGAGGGAAATGCAAAGAATAATTAATCAGTCTCCCTAGTGATGAAAATTGAAACATTGTTTTCCCTAAGATTCCTATAGTTTTTTAAAAGTCTTGGCAGTATATTGAGAAAGTTCATTCACTGCCTGAATAGGATTTTGAATTTTTTCCCTAACTATTTAACCTCTAAAATCAAAACAAGTGCAGTAACCACCATCCCAAGTGGAATTACGTGATCTTATCGCAAATACTTTAGATGCTTTGTTAGATCAGTAATACCTCGATTTTAATTTTAACTTAAACTACATTAGTTTTCTTCGCAAAATCAAACAATTTATTCTTACATAATTGAAGAATAATGATTTTCCTTGATTGAATAAGGATGTGTTTACATATATATATATATATATATATATATATATATATATATATATATATATATATATATATATATATATATATATATATATATAAACACAT